CTTTATTAATCATTTATAGTGCATGTGTTTGGACTGTGGGGGAAACCGGAGCACCCAAAGGAAACCCACGCCAACATCGGGAGAACATGCAAACCACAGACATGCCAACTGACCTACACAGGGCTCGAACAAGTGACCTTCTTGCTGTAAGGCAAACATGCTGCCCACTGCACCACCGTGTTGCCCGCGGCCTGGACATTAAAGAAAAAGATTTCATTTTAGAGATTAGCATTTCCAAATGTAAGTGTCGCAGCATTTGAACCCAGAAGTTCTAGTAGATCGAAACTGTGTCAGTCCAGTTTTCAGCGTTCAGTTAAGTTCAGTTCAGTGTGGTTTGATATTGATTGATGTTATACTCATTTGCAATTAAGTCTAATACTGTGGTAGGTTTAGCATACAGCCCAACACTATAGGCAAAGTATATATATTTCCTCCAACATTTGGGGCTTAGCCTAGAGCAGGGCTATTCAATTAGTTTGTCATGGGGGCCGGTTCATGAACAGCGTCTCAGATGAGGGGCCGGAGAGATGTGACTCGCTATATAAGTGATGACACAACAGCATATAAAAGCCCATATGCCATAGTTTGGAAACACTTTACAATAAGGTTCATTAGTTAATGCATTTACTAACATGAACTACACATGTACAGCATTTATTAATCATAATTAAACATTTACAACATTAACATCCAAGTTCAAGCTTGTTACTATTAGTTAATGCACCGTGAGTTTACATGAGCTAACAATGAACTGCTGTATTTTCATTAATTAACGTTAACTAACATGGTTAAATACAGTAGTAGATGTATTATTGATTGTTTGTTCATGTTAGTAAGTGCATTAATTAACATTAACTAATGAACCTTATGGGGTATATGCCGAAGCATGCTAATAGGACTTTTATTTTGCTAGTAACCTGGGTTAAGCGCTTACGGTGAATTGAATGCCAATGCAAAATCTGGTGCGTTTAAGATCTGTTTTCTTTAAAAATCAGCGATCTCCACTGGCTGTGTAATATCCGATTTAAAGTGGGTCTCAGATTGTACAAGAAGCTCTGCATTAAATTACATTTCCCCCCGCCATGTCTTTGAGCATTTATTTTACCCCAGTATATTCAATGGAGCTTCTGCGCTAGCCTGCCGATTCTGACGGGCGTGTGTGAGGAAACAGCTTTTTGTCTCGTTTTACGCTTGAACAACTAAATAAATGCTAAAGTTTATTTAACTGAATGTATTTTAATGACATTACAACATCGATGCTGTATAAGGAACTGTATAAAATGATAAAAAGTTCACAATAACAGGTCACCGGAAGTGTATCAGCATGGGAACTGCACTAGCTCGGCATGTACCCTATTGTAAAGTGTGACCCATGTTTTTGCTCCTTAAGACACCCATGCTGGTTTTTTCTACATTAAAATGTTAATATGTTGTATTTTGAAACTACATAACATCACTGCACTGTAAAATGTGGCTTTCCTTACAAACATGTTGTATTTCTAAGCACAACAAAAGCAGTGCACTAATCAAGTAGGCGTCTTCTACATTCAGACACATTCATATGTTGTGTCTTGAACTGCATATCAATTAGGGATGCAATTATAGATTTTGGTGTGATTATAGACTGAAGAATAATCTTGGTTTCAGGCTTATCACCATTATTATGCATTTAATAAATTCAAAACACGACTAGTTTAGAAAGTCACAAGTGAACTGCTCATATTTTAAAGTGTTGTTGCTGCTCAGTAACCAAATATTAATAAACACAAACACGAGTCCAGTTCTCACTTTGGACTTAAATACAATAGAAATAAGGCGACGCAGTGACGCAGTAGGTAGTGCTCTCGCTGGTTCGAGCCTCAGCTCAGTTGGCGTTTCTGTGTGGAGTTTGCATGTTCTCCTTGCCATCGCGTGGGTTTCCTCCGGGTGCTCTGGTTTCCCCCACAGCCCAAAGACATGCGGTACAGGTGAATTGGGTAAGCTAAACTGTCTGTAGTGTGTATGAGTGTGTGTGTGAATGAGTGTGTGTGAATGTTTCCCAGAGATGGGTTGCGGTTGGAAGGGCATCCGCTGCATAAAAACGTGCTGGATAAGTGGGTGGTTCATTCCGCTGTGGCGACCCCGGATTAATAAAGGGACTAAGCCGACAAGAAAATGAATGAATGAATAATTATGACTCAACAAATGCAGTGACACCACCTCGAGGTCCATCTGCATTCAGTGGGCAGTGTTGAGGCTCACATCATAGAATGAGCCGAGCACAACGGCCCGATAGTTAGTGATCTAGGACACTTCCAGGTCAGGTCTTGGGCTAAGGTCTTTTCCCCTGCTTTAGCCCAAGCCTCATTAAACATTATTAAAAACTAAGGAAAAGAAACACAATGCCCAAAAGAGAAAAGCACTGCATTACGTTCTGTTGGTCAGGTATTGTGTCATAGTGTGTGTCTGAATTAGGAATATCATGTGAAAAGTGGAGCGATGCGGTGGCGCCTCACAGCAAGAAGATCGCTGGTTTGAGCCTCGGCTGGGTCAGTTGGCATTTCTGTATGGAGTTTGCATGTTCTCCTCATGTTCACGTGGGTTTCCCACACAAGTCCAAACACACGTGGTATACTGTAGGTAAATTGGTCCCACTTTATAGTGTGGCCTTAACTAATTTGTACTTACACAGGAATTAATAGTTTGTTACAATGTACTTATTGTGTAAATACATGTATTTACTGTGTACTTATGCATGATTAAAAACATGTATGTAATTACATCTGTAACTACTTCTGTAATTACATTTGTAAATACACTGCTGACCATTCCTTACATCTTAACCTACCCTTAAACCTACCAATGCCACTAAACCTGTCCATAACCCAACCTCTATCCCAACTCAAGAGCACCACAAGTGTTCTCAAACACATTATAAACACAGTAGGTACATTGTATTTATTTTTTTGATGTAAGTACATAGTAGTTAGGGACACTTGATATAAAGTGGGACTGGTAAATTGACCATAGTGTATGTGTGTGAATGAGTGTGTTTGGATGTTTCCCGGTGATGGGTTGCAGCTGGAACACTCCAAAAAAATTTTTTTGCTTGTTCAAACTACTTATTTAAAATAAGCTGAATTAACACAATTATTGAGATTTCATTGGGACAATTTAATTTTTATGTTCAATCCACATACATTTGTTAAAAGTGTTAACTAAATTGATTTGTGTTGGGACAGCATGAATAAATTGTGTGGAATTTGTGCATTTTTTTTACAGTGAAGGGCATATGTTGTGAAAAACATATGCTAGATAAGTTGGTGGTTCATTCCACTGTGGTGACCACAGATTAATAAAGGGACTAAGCCAAAATGAATAAATGAATGAATATGAAAAGTAGTTTGTAGTTTGTAAACTTAAGGGCAGGAAGGAAAGCCGACAGAAGCACATACATACACTCAAAAAATATATATTTTGTTACTTTTTCAAACTACTTAATTAAAATGAGCTGAAACAACACAATTTTTAAGATTTCATTGGGACAACTTAATTCTTTTTACGTTTAATCGACATGAATGTGTTAAAAGTGTTAGGTTAACTTAACTGATTTGTGTTGGGACAGCATGAATGAATTGTGTGGAACCCTGCATTTTTTACAGTGTATGCACTCAAAAATTACTTTAACTGCTTGTTCAAACTACTAATTTAATATGAGTTGAACCAACACAACTATTTAGGAGGACAACTTAATTATTTTATGTTCAATTTACTTAAATTTGTAAAAAAATAAGCTGAATTAACACAATTATTGAGATTTCATTGGGACAACTTAATTTTTATGTTCAATCCACATACATTTGTTAAAAGTGTTAAGTTAACTAAATTGATTTGTGTTGGGACAACATGAATAAATTGTGTGGAATTAGAGCATTTTTTTTACAGTGAAGGGCATATGTTGTGGAAAACATATGCTAGATAAGTTGGTGGTTCATTCCACTGTGGTGACCACAGATTAATAAAGGGTCTAAGTCAAAATGAATAATTGAATGAATATGAAAAGTAGTTTGTAAACTTAAGGGTAGGAAGGAAAGCCGACAGAAGCACATACATACACTCAAAAAATATATATTTTGTTACTTGTTCAAACTACTTAATTAAAATGAGCTGAAACAACACAATTTTTAAGATTTCATTGGGACAACTTAATTTTTTTACGTTTAATCGACACAAATTTGTTAAAAGTGTTAGATTAACTTAACTGATTTGTGTTGGGACAGCATGAATGAATTGTGGGAAACCCTGCATTTTTTACAGTGTATGCACTCAAAAATTACTTTAACTGCTTGTTCAAACTACTAATTTAATATGAGTTGAACCAACACAACTATTTAGGAGGACAACTTAATTATTTTAAGTTCAATCCACTTAAATTTGTAAAAAAACAATTAAGATGACTGAATTAATTTGTGTTTTTACAGTGTAACACATAAATATAACATGAATATGACACTGACAATTCTGCACTATGAACTGAGCAAACACATCGACTTTAATCTACAGTGTAAATTATGAGATAAACTAAACTTAAAATCATATATTAAAAAAAAAGGTTATAAAATAAACATTTTACATGGAGATATATTTACAATATACTGACATTTGCTAAATAATTTTTTTCTGTCAGAAGAAAACTATAATATTGTAAATAAAGAGCTCTTTTTTTCCCTCAGTATAAAACTATTTCGGTAAATAGAAGCAAACTAATAATGCAAACTAATATATCTGACAATTAGCGATTTAACAGTTGAGAATGGATAAAAATGTATGCACGTATGTACTGTCCTCTCCAACATAAAATAAAGATAAAGAGCCAGAGGAGGAGTCTGAGAGTCTGACAGATATAAAGAGAGTTTGAGCCCGGCTGAAAAACACCAGCGCTGAGGTACTGCTTTATTCCTCACTGAGCTTCACACATTTACACCAGACCTCAGATTAACCTGTTCATCACTCTCTTCTAGGAGAACAGAGCTCTGCTGTGACCTGCTGTGGAGCGACTGAGAAGATGGCAGTAAGTGATCCCGCATCCTTCACTGTTTCAGTTACCCTGATCTAACATCTTTCCTAATGCTGGCATGATGTATGGACTGATGTTAATCTCTGTCCCATGTAGCTGATCTGGTTTTTGGCAGCTCTTGTCTCTGTTGCTTCAGCCATCGACTATAGGGACCGATATAAGCCATTGGACTGTTCTCATCACTACAAATCAGGAGAAAGGTTTAGTAAGGTTTACACCATCCATCCAGACGGTGACCACCCTCACCATGCTTTCTGTCACATGGTATCAGATGGCAGAGATGAAGATAACGGAGGATGGACGGTACGAGTGTGACTTTTGGTAATCAAACACTCATCAGAACACACACGAGCAATCATTTATGTTGTGTATTACCCTCTTACAGGTGATTCAGAGGAGGATGGACGGCACATTGAATTTCTATCAGCCATGGAAAGAGTACAAGAGAGGATTCGGGTCTATGGAGGGCGAACACTGGATGGGTGAGATCTGACATCCGTCTGTGTAAATGTTCATGTCTAGTGATTGGTTCAACATGTTCTTTGTATGTTGTGTGTGTGTGTGTGTGTGTGAGAACAGGGCTGGAGCACATCCACCACATGACACGCCACAAGAGGCACATGCTGAGAGTGGATATGGAGGACTTTGAAGGAAGGAGAGGTTTCGCTCATTACACGTCTTTCTCTGTGGCATCTGAGGACGACGGCTATAAACTGCACATTTCTGGATTCAGGGATGGAGGAGCAGGTACGGCACTTTAAAACTCATGATATCTTATATATATATTGAGTTATTGTCCTAATGAATCTCCCTCCTCTCTGCAGGCGACTCCTTGACGGCCCATAATGAAATGAAGTTCTCCACTTTTGACAAAGACCAAGATTTGTACGAAAAGAACTGCGCCAGAGAGTTCCTCGGGGGATTCTGGTATAAAAAGTGTCACCATGCAAATCCCAACGGTGTGTACTTATGGGGTCACGATCGCACCCACTACGCTATCGGTGTGTGTTGGTGGAGCTGGGATCACAACTACTACAACAGCTTGAAACACATCACCATGAGGATCAAACCTCATGACACCTAGACTAATGTTTACAGTTTAACATGTAAGGCTTATTACTTTATCTTTAATGCTTACGGTATGTTTAGAGCTGAGCACTCAGTGTGTATGTGAACATATGTGCTGGACACAGTGAAGGTTTGACCTCTGTAAAGTCTCTGCTCTCCCTCCAGAAGTTATAACATATTGACTTTCCTGTGTTTAACTCTTCCACAAGCTGTTTAATGACCGTGATTTGTCTTTGTTTAAGTCTGTTTTTACTATCCAAATGATAATAAACTCAATAAACTGCAGATTTAATGCTATGTGTATGTTTGCAGATGTGTTTAATTCCACTACAGAAACGCTAAATGATGAATAATCACACACATATATGCATAAACTGACTATAAGTGTTCTGCTCATCTGGTATAAAGATGCATTATTAGTGTTAAGTTCAGACCTGTGTGTATTTTTCTTCATCAAAACACATCTACACACACACACACACACACAAACACACACATAAGAGTGGGGAAAGTTATATGCAGAAGCATTTGGTGAACTCTAACCCACAATTTAATATTATGTGTCAAATAAAATCTCATTACCTTCCTTAATAATTGTTTAACAGCTGAAATATGAGGTTTATAATAATTTTTAAACAGTAAAGTTCTTTGAATTTTTGATTTTATAATCACTTTCCAGTCTGGGATGGTAATACAGACTCATATTATCAGTATTATTATTATAGAACTGATCTCCTTATGGGCGTCACGGTGGTGCAGTGAGTGGCACGATCACCTCACAGCAAGAAGGTCGCTGATTTGAGCCTCGACTGGGGCAGTTGTGGAGTTTGCATGTTCTCCCCATGTTCGCATGGGTTCCAGTTTCCCCCCTAAGTCCAAACACATGCGCTAGGTGGATTGGGTTGGCTAAATTGTCTGTAGTGTGTGTGTGTGAGCAAGTGTGTATGGGTGTTTTTCAGTGATGGGTTGCAGCTGGAAGGCATACAATGTGTAAAACATATGCTGGATAAGTTGGCGGTTCATTCCGCTGTGTCTTTACATATAAGTCTAATGGACTACATTAGGAATAATTGTACATTTGTGGCGCAGAAGCAAATATGGAGGGTTTAATATGCTGTAAAAGATGTTGCTGTAATCATTGGAATTACATTGACATTTACCTGATGTTATTTAATGCTTTAACTGATGAATACAGGTGCTATTGTGTGTGCGTTTGCTGCTGCTTTCCTAAAATTTTACATTTGAGTCGATTAACGTTCCTCTACTATTGCTTTATTGTATATAAGCCTTGTGTCCTGGTGATTTTTAATGAGTTTGCTTTATCTGAGAGTGTTTTGTGCTCAGTTTGCATCGTGATTTATTTACTCTGTTGTTAACTGAAATACCCATTTGTAATAATTGTCATCTTTTATGAGGGTGTACTGTAAGGTCAGCTGACACGCTGGGCCTGTTCATCCTACACACAGTCTGCAAGCTTTTCATACACAAACTAATAAGAGTAAGTGCTTATAGTCAGTTTATCAACATTAGAGCGCCACCTTTAGGTTGAATTACGCAAGGACACTAAAGCTCTGCTGAATGCGAGAGCTTAGGATCAAGTGTGCTTTCTGAGGCCAAAACATTTAGATGGTGGCTAATGCAGAAGCCTGACCTCCAAACTGAAAGGATTGACAAGGGAGCTAAAATAAAATAAATAAACAAATCTAAATGCACTTTGCAAAATTACAAACATTTGCCCCCATAGTTTCTGTCATTTTCGGTAGTTAGTATGCTCTTGTGTATTTATTTGATGATAGTTACTTTTTTTTGTGGTTATTTTCAACATTTTAGTGGAATAATTTAGCAAATTCGACAGCACTTACAATAGCTGATGCCCTGATCAGTGCACTGACTAGTAAACAATGGTGCTGACTGAGACAAAATATATACCAATTTACATCATTTTTGTATTAGGATCTGTATAGATGTGTGAATTTTAGTGCTCTTTTATATTTGTTTTGTTTATTGTATAATATTTATTTTATTTTTAGGGACACAATTTTACTGTCTGTCCAGTGACAACCAATGAAAAACAGCCATTTGGCTAAATAGTGCATTTGAAGCAATGTTAATTAATGTACACTGCGCTGGCCAAATAAATCAATAAAAGTAATATAAACATATACTGTATATAAAATTAAACTCAATATATTTGATTATAAATACTTGCAATGCTAATGTAAATATGAAAAAATAGAGAAATAAATAAGATATGCCTTTTTTAAAACATAAATTGAATATAAGCACGGGAAAAAACTAGTTAGGAAGATACTACACACTGTAAAACCCAATAAGTTAAGGCAACACAAACCGTTTGAGTTGAACTAAACTATAGGAGTACTGCGAACTTGCTCCATTTAAGTTGAAGTAATGAGGTATTTAATTAACTTATTACTTTTAACACTGAGCTCAGAACTCTTTTCAAATGAGTAGAATGAACTTTCAGTCGATTTTTTTTGTTAACTACACTCATTTCAGTTGATAAAGTTGAGTCTTACAGTATAGCTATTCATTGTTACTTTAAAGTTGTTTTTAATCTATAGACCATTTTGAGGGATGTAAACAAAAACAATGGTATTTTACATTTACATTTAGTCATTTAGCAGACACTTTTATCCAAAGCGACTTACAAATGAGGACAAGGAAGCAATTTACACAACTAAGAGCAACAATGAATAAGTGCTATAGGCAAGTTTCAGGTCTGTAAAGTCTAAGAAGGGAAGTATTAGTATTTTTTTTTTTTTTTTTGGTTACAGTTAGTGTGATATTCAGAGAGGCAATTGCAGATTAGGAAGTGAAGTGGAGACTAAATAGTTGAGTTTTTTCTGTGGTACAGTTTAAATTTTAACAGCCTCCGAGAATCCAAAAAGGTCCACATTTTAATAAATAATGTCATTATAGCTGTTTTAACAATAAGTTATGATTAAATTGCCTCTTGATACAGTTATGAAATAGTTTGATAATACGTAGGAAATGTCCATGAGCCAATGACATCCCCACATTGAAATTGTCTATAGTTATTCTAGAGACTGTACAGACAGACACTGTACTTCTGTATGTTGGTTTATGTCTTCACCTTGTGGCTATTAAATTAATGGCAGCAGTTAGCGTAATTGAATAACTAAATACCTATAATTAGACAGTTATTTAATAATCATGACAGGCTTGCTGCCTTTTTGTCATTTCTAAGGAATACCAAATATTACACCCAAAAATCTGTTTAAGGACACACAAAGTTCATAAGAGAAATAGCTCAACGCCCTGCTGGAGGGAAACACAATCTAGTGGAAACATTCATTATATTGTGAACCATTTTTCCACATGGGAAAGATACTGTATGTTGCATTGTGTCGTGTGTATTTAGTGCCAGTGTGCAGGATTCTGTCTGTGTTTTTATTGTTAGACAAATTACAAAATACAAAGAAGCTAAATACAAAACACTGCTCTTGAACATACAGCTTTCGTGATATTAATAATGTTTAACCTTTATTTCATTTATATATGCGATGCTATTTTTCAGTCAACATTATGCGATAAAAATAGTTCAAATTTGCTCAACTTTTAGATAGTTATTGTAAGTAAGAACTAAACTCCACCTTTTTAAAATATCAGTGCATTAATTAAATCACATTTTCCTAATGTGCTACTTACATACACATAAAATACTTATAGCTACTACCTACTCTGTGAACAGTGTAATCACAACACTGACAAGCGCTCTTAGGAGTAAACTCTTGAGAGATGCAGACCTGTTGCAGTGCAATCTGAGCTGCATCCAATGCATTGAATGGGCTCACCCCTAACCCAACCCCTAACCCAACCCGTCACAGTGATGTCACTCACTCTATTGAGTGCATTGTGTCTGACACTGCATCGCTGAGTAATCATAAAGGCTGCATCCAGAAAATATTGAAACTCCTACCTGCCTCATGTGGATCATCTCTGCATTCCTCTTGTCTGCCTGTGTTCACTATAAAGAAAAACACACCTGTGCTGCTCACCCGAAGTGAGGTGTGTTTTCTCACTAGATCTCCATTCTTGTCCATGATCTCTACAATCTTGATCTCTCACACCCATGAGTCAATTCCAGCATCTCCTGTCATAAAGAGTAAATCAGCTAATCTGCTGTCCAAAAGTGTACATGACAATTGCTGCTCAAAATACCCCTTTAAATCCAAAATGCAGTGGTTAATTTCCTTTTTAATGCACAGCAGCTCCTATGTAAATGGACTTACATGCAGGTGAGATTTAACATGGTAAATGTAAGGTGAACTCCACGGATAAGGTCACAAAACGCATTTCAGAAGGGTAAGAAATGGAGCATTCTGTAAATGCATGATGCTTCTAGCAATTGAAACTAATTAAAACGTGATGGAGAAGTTGTTGTTGTGTTGTTATCCTATTTACATGCATTCTGCACACAGCAATTAAAACACTTGTCACTTGTACACAAAAAGTAACCATGGTTTAAATACAGTAAAAGTGCACTTACTGTTTTAAGGCACATTGACTACCATATGTATGAACAGTTTAACTAGAAACACCATGGTTAAACTATGGTTGATTGTAAACATAGGGTTGCAATGGTAATTGTAGTTATACCATGGTAACCACTAATTGTAAGACCATTACAACACTAAACGTCTAACCTTGACAGTTGTTTATATATAAAATGTGTGTTCTACACTTTTAATATGGTAAACCATTTAGTTCGGTTTCTTCTTCGAAAATAAGGCTTTACTTTAGCAGATGTGTGCATTTAACATTAGCAGTTAACAGCTACATAATACACGATGATTCAATCTCACATGAACTATATATTAAATCAGTTTAGTTTTGTCCTGTTTATTTTTTTTTTAAATGTTTTTGGCTCAGTGGCTAGCACTGTCGCCTCACAACAAGAAGGTTGCTAGTTTGAGTCCTGGCTGGGTCAGCTGATGTTTCTGTCTGGAGTTTGCATGTTCTCCCCTTGTTGGCGTGGGTTTGCTCCGGGTACTCCGGTTTCCCCCACAGTCCAAACACATGCGCTATTGGGGAATTGATGAACTACATTGGCCGTAGTGTATGAGTGTGTGTGTGAATGAGCGTGTATGGGTGTTTCCCAATACTGGGTTGTAGCTGGAAGGACATCTACTGTGTAAAACCTATGCTGAAATAGTTGGTTTATTTCACTGTGATGACCCCTGATGAATAAAGAGACTAATCTGAAGGAAAGTGAATGAATAAGCAAAAAGGGGTGAAAACTAAAACTCTGATGATTCTGACACAAATTATGAATGTTTGTGTCGTATTTCTCCAGGGAAATGATCATATAAAATATTTGATGTACTTTTATACATAATTATTACATTAATTTCTAAAAGTTTCACTTTTAAACGAGTTTAAACAATATTTTAACAGCCAAAGATCGTCTGATAATACTAATGGCGGTAAATCCTAACGGTATTAAGGCGTGGCGTAAGAAGACGCCGCTTGTCATGAAGATATTTTCAAAATGGTCTTTAGGATATTATGTGCATTATATTATATACATACCTGTTGATTTATGAGCAAAATACTTCATATTAACTCAATGTAACGCTGTCTAGCCGCAACTGTTATCTCTTCACCAAAGAGTAACGGAAAACTGTTCAAACTAACCCCACCTGTGCTTCATGACCACCCTCTGTCTACCAATAAGCTCTCGATGTTACTGACGGACATCAGCGATAGCCAATAGAAACGCGCGGATTGCATCCCAAGGGCGTTTCTTCAAAAGTTTATGGTGGTCTGCTGACCGGATATGAAAAGTTTCTCGCAGACAGTTTTCTGTGTTTCTGACAGCTGGAGTTCGTGTTTGTTTTCGTCCAGTCAAGCGAAGGCGGGTGATGAAGTGAGTTTCTCTGAGCTCCGAGGGTCTGATAAAGCTCGTCATCATGGGGAACCGCGGGATGGAGGACTTGATTCCCCTCATTAACAAGCTGCAGGACGCCTTCAGCTCCATCGGCCAGAGCTGCAACTTGGAGCTGCCGCAGATCGCGGTGGTCGGCGGGCAGAGCGCCGGTAAAAGCTCCGTGCTCGAGAACTTCGTGGGAAGGTAAAAGTCTTTACACTATTTAAATGTGGCTTTTTAAAATATGACATACGAACGTTTCGGTTGTTTTATTCTGTTATTATTTTGTTTATGTTACGGTGTTGTATTGAAATCTGACTCCTTCCCTGAAAAAAAGTTCTGATGGAGCTACAATCAAATAATTTAGCAAAATTACTAACTTATATAGAGCAAGATATGACATCAACATAAATTTGGTTTATATGTGACCTTATATGTGACCTTTTTAAACCTGTGTTTGTAGGGAGAGTAAATGTAATTTAATTTAAACCATTTTTGAGACTTAATTTAAACCATTCATAAGACCATTCATGAGACTTGTGTACTGTAATGTTTTTGTATAAGAAATTTGCTTAGAATGTTAGTTAGTTAGTTAGTTATTGTCTTGGTGGCCTACAGACATTGCTTTTAATAAATGTCCCATTATGGTGGCCTACATCATCACTATCATTTCTTCATAATTCTGTTATATTTTTTTCAGCTCGTTGTCTTTTATTCAGGATTTGTGTTTATATTTTGTTCATATTATACTCTTAAAAGTCTAAAATTCTAAGCAAAATTCTTATAAATCAGCATTAAAGTTAACTCATAAATGGTGTAGCTATGAGAAATAGAGCAAAACATGTATGTTAAGATGGAGGTAAAGTTGGTTTCATATTTGCACATTCGTTCATTTCGAAGTTCCTATATTGTTTACCATGTTACTTTGAATATACGATCAGAATTAGCCTGCAGGTATGACTTGAAATGGAGGTAAAGTTGGTTTTATATTCGCAAATTCATTCATTTAGAAGTGCCTATACTGTTTACCATGTTACTTTGAATATTCGATCGGAATTAGCCTGCAGGTATGACTTGAAATGGAGGTAAAGTTGGTTATATATTCGTTCATTTCGAAGTTCCTATATTGTTTACCATGTTACTTTGAATATACGATCGGAATTAGCCTGATAGTATGACTTGAAAACAACATTAACACTGTTTTTTTGACCGTGGACAATGTTGTACTTTGATAGTCATTCATTCATTCATTTTCTTGTCGGCTTAGTCCCTTTATTAATCTGGGGTCGCCACAGCGGACAGAACCGCCAACTTATTCAGCAAGTTTTTACGCAGCGAATGCCCTTCCTGCCGCAACCCATCTCTGGGAAACATTCACACACACACTCATACACTACGGACAATTTAGCCTACCCAATTCACCTGTACCGCATGTCTTTGGACTGTGGGGGAAACCGGAGCACCCGGAGGAAACCCACGCGAAGGCAGGGAGAACATGCAAACTCCACACATAAATGCCAACTTGAGCCGAGGTTCAAACCAGCGACCCAGCGACCTTCTTGCTGTGAGGCGACAGCACTACCTACTGCGCCACTGCCTCGCCCACTTGAATAGTCATTGGCTGCTTATTTGATTTCGCTATTTAGAGTTTGCAAATAATACTTTTATGAAATTATATTATTAAGAGAAAAGTCTGAATGTGCGATTATAAAACCAACTTTACCTCTATTGTGTGAAGTTGGTATTGAGGTTAAGCTGGTTTACATTCGCACCTTCAGACTTTCTCATTAATAATGTAATGTTCAGAAATGTATTCTTTGCCAATTCTATATAGGGAAATCATATTAGGAGCCAATGACTATCAAAGTACAACATTGTCCACCGTCACGTAGATAGTGCTAATGTTGTCATACTATACAGTAAGTCATGCTTGCATGGCATTTTAGACTGAATAGTCAAAGTATGTGATAAACAATAAGGATCATGTCACTGTTACAAAAATGAGTGAATGTGCAAATATAAAACTATTTACCTTGTTTAGTTTGAAAAGCTTTACCTCAGATTACCTGTTCAACATCAATGGTCAGACAGTCATGTTGGTCAAACATTAACCGTCAGAAAAATTCAGATCTGTTACTGTGCTATAAAAGAGACAGTTCACACACACACACACACACACAATATACGTTGTTTATCCTCATTTTCTGTACTCGTTTCTTTCAAATCTGAGTTTCTTTTGTTGAACACAAAGCTAGATATTTTGGAAGTATGCCACTGAACAGCCATTGACATCAATAGGGTTGTTTGTTCCTCAGCAAATCCATGCAAATGTCAACCTTTCCATGAAAAATAGTGAAACCCTATCTAAGTATTTTGTGTAGGCGTGTATTTAACAGTGCTGTAAAATACTCAAATGTCTGTCTATGTTTAAAACAATTATATTTGATTTAAAAAGTCACACAAGTGGCAATTTCACATCTGTCACATCCATAACCGAGCTTTTCCCGCACAAATGCAAAAATGTGAAGTGAAATAAACTCAATGATGTTTAATTTATAGAGAGCCAACTTATATTCTTTTAATTAGCTTTGTTTCTGTTGGGCTGTGCGGTTTAATTCTCTGAATTTCTTCAAAGTATGTTGTATACTGTCAAAGATATTTACATTAGATTGTTGTCAATTGGATGGAATGCCGCCATTTTAGTACAGGGTAGCACTCCTATGAAATGAATGCAGGACCAAGGTGCAGTGGAGGACTGGCCATCCAGAGCCAGAGATATACACACATATACACATAAGGGGTGGGCGGTACACCGGTGTGACATTGTGCCACGACATGGATTTTCTAATACCATCAATACCATAATAAATCAATTATATTCCTGAAACGGCTGCATTTACATCAATACTAGCTCATTCTAAATAATAAGACTTTAAATTTTCTTTAAGTGTTCAGTTGTTGTCTAAATTCCTGTCCTCTTTATATCTTGTTGTAAATAAAAAAAGTAAAACACATTCGTGTCAGCTTTGCCAGCCACAAGCTCACCCTCCGAGCGTGCATTCAACACAGGGGGAAATACTGTAAGCTCCAGGGCATCACTGAAGCCGGGAAATGTTAACCAGCTGGTGTACCTGGCAAAAAACTTGAATGTCTGGTTTCATCAGAATTCAGATGAAGAGAGAGTTCGTTTTTGTGAAAAGTACACCTTCTTACACCGTTCTTGCGTTATTACACTGCTAATTTTTGTTTTGTTGCACACTGTAAGTAAGATCTTTAGGTTTTTTTGCTAAATAAATATGTTGAGAATGCATGATACTCCCCCATGTCTCTTTTTGATTCGGATACCATTTACTTATTAAAAATATTAACTTTATTCACATGCTAAAGGGACAGGACAGGCTACTCCTTCCAAAATGTCCCCAAAAAAATTATACTGTGATATTACACCGTCATCGTTTAAAAGATGAAAAATACAGTGATATTAATTTTAGGTCATATCGCCCATCCCTAATACACATACATCCATGATTAGGAGTTTTCCCGCTGGTCAGTGTGCAAATATTGTTTTAAATTATGAATATTATAGTTGTACTTTACTTTTCTATATTGATGGGTATGTGACCACATGGGCATTACCGACAAAGAGTGTGTTTGTGCGCATGCAAATGTATTATCCTCCCTTCCGGTTAAATTTGATCTTATCCATGTCCTGAAACACACCTCCTCTCCTGCTGTCACTTCTCATTCTAACATAGGGAGCGATTTGTTTGTTAATGCATCTCCATTATGAACGATTGGTTCACTTAGAAGACACTAATACAAGTTTGTAGCAGCGCAGTGTCTTGTTCTTGTATTTTATTTACATTATTTGCTGCTTGTATTCAACTAAACTAGCATAAGCTGAGTATTTAGTGCGAGCTGGTGCTACTTGTATGGTCAGAGACTGTATAATCATCAGTAACGTTACCTGTTGAGCACAAAACTTCGTAACATACAAAAACATAAAGAACTAAATCATGAAATGCGCTGTGAAGACGAGTAACGGCTTGTCTAACACCGAACAAGAGTTTTATAACATCTAACTATATAGAATATATGAATAATATCAGCGCCTTAAAAAAAGTGAATGTTGTGTTCAACACAGCGGAGAAGAGTTTTCATGCAGATCTTTACCACACATCACATATAGGTCACTTTTAGGGATGCAGCAATACAGTTCGCCCACGGTTCAATACATACCTCGGTTTTTAGGTTCAGTTCTCATACGTGTGTTTTTTATTCTATAGGCAATAGGAACAGTAAGAGGTTAAGGAGAAAAAAATAAAAACGATTTATTGCAATACTCATTTTGTTTTACTTAAAAGCCAAGAAATGTACAGTAGTTCCAAGAGTATTGTATAAAATAAATGCACACTGAAATCTCACCGCTGCTAGTAGCCCATGCACAAACTGGGGAACACTTAAATTCCTACACTTTGAAAATGAACACACATGTGAAGCTAATAAAGATAAATTGGCCATTTCAAATAAACATATTTTTACTTCAGTAAACATAAATAAAGCATCTGAATTATCTCGGTGCTGAAAAAATGCGAGACTGTAGTCTGTAACGCAGATCGAGTGCTTTTATAAGATGACAGAAGCCCACATCTCCAATCACCGAAAACGGTTGCAAATCTTCAGCAATAAACACCCGCACTGCCTTTGTTACTTTTATGTGTCTCTCAGAACCAGTTGGGTATGTTTGCTGGAAGGATTCAGCGAGGGATTGTCTATTTGGAGGACTTTATTATCTTCTCTGCTATCCTGCCTTCAGACAGTGATATTGCTGGGTGATGCGCTGCAGATGTGCAGTCATGGTTATGCGTGTAAAACAGGGGTGGCCAACCCTGTTCCTGGAGAGCCACCTTCCTGCAGATTTCAGTTGCAACCCATATCCATGCCTGATTTACAGGCACACACAGTCAATTCGGGAGATATAAAACGCACATAAATTATATTGATTATATTGATTATCTAAATCATATTAATATTATATTGAGAACCGTGGCATTCCTAGTCAGTTTAAAAGAGTGTTGTCATAATCACATCAGACGAGTGACTCAAAATGCAGAAAACAGCAGCATACGGGTTTAAACGGACAGATGGTGGGCATACAATAATAGACCGTTTCAATGTGGTCATGTCATCCGCATGAACATTTCCTGCTTGTTGTCAAACTATTTCATATTTCATTTATTGATCAATACATGGATTCTTGGAAGATTTGGAAATTAAAAATGTAAAACAGGAAATACATTAGGACCATTGTTATTGTTTTCATCCCTCAAAATGGTCTTCAGAGATCATGTGTGTGTGTGTGTGTGTGTGTGTGTGAGCCACAGATCAGGAGAATCATTCATCCTAAAACAGACCTGAAATATCTGTGTTCAGACTGAGCTCCACATGTGCTGACATGACATCTGCAGGATTCCTGACTAACCAACAGGATGACACACACACACGCACGCACACACACACACACACACACACACACACACACACAGAACAATGTATATCAGTAATTAGTGTGTGGAGACTTTGGTCTGGGAGTGAAGCTTCTTTTCTGCTAAGTTCTCTCTCTCTCTCTCTGTGCATGTGTGCGTGTGTGTGTGTGTGTGCGTGAGTGTGTGCGTGTGTGTTTGATGTAAAGCTTTTTCTCCATCTTCAGTTTGTAAATTGTTGTTGTGTCAGTAAACTCTATATCAGTGGTTCTCAAACTTTTTTCATCAAGTACCACCTCAGAAAACAATTGTCTCTCCAAGTACCACCATACAGAGCAGTATTGAAATACAGTAGTGTAGTTGGCCCAGTAAAGCAGCTACAGCTTTGCACGGTTCAAAAATGTGGCAGATTAATTCCTACTATTAAGAATATTTATTATTGTCAGTCACTTTAAACATTATAAATAGTCTGAACATTAACACTGTACTGTGCTTATTTGTAAAACAAACAAACAAACAAACAAAATAACAAACAAACAAACAAAACTAAAACCAAAAACTTCAACATTTAAATTAAAATGTTCTTTTTAAAGTTAAAAGTAGTAGGTTACTGTTCTTAAAAAAAAAAAAAAACTGTACTTAAATGTGAAGTATTAACATATAGTAGCCAACTCATTAACACCTGGAAATGTTGCCTGGATCTCAGAAATATAGGCTATATGTCATCATATATTCATATATAAATCATTTTTGATAAATTTTGAAATGTATGTATCATATACAATGACATATTTTATTCCTCCGCGTACTACTAAAAAGAAGCCCGAGTACCACTAGCGGTACACGTATCACAGTTTGAGACTATATACCACTGCTCTATATGATATTAAAGAACTTTATAATGTGTTCTGTTGTGCATCAGTGCAACATTTTACAGAAATGCACAGTTCACAGCAATGGATCTTTCAAAATGCTAACAAATATATTATTATAATTATTATATTTTATAGGCGGTACGGTGGCTCAGTAGTTAGCATTGTCGCCTCACAGCAAGAAGGTGGCTGGTTCGCCAGAGTTGGGTCAGTTGGTGTTTCTGTGTGGAGTTTGCATGTCGCCATGTTGGCGTGGGTTTCCTTCGAGTGCTCCGGTTTCTCCCACACTCCAAACACATGCGCTATTGGGGAATTGATTAACTAAATTTGCCGTAGTGTATGTGTGTGTGTGTGAATGAGCGTGTATGGGTGTTTCCCAGTGCTGGGTTGCAGCTGGAAGGGCATCCACTGCGTAAAACATATGCTGTAGTTGGCGGTTCATTCTGCTGTGGCGACCCCTGATGAATAAGGGGACTAAGCCAAAAAGTAAACGAATGAATGAATATATTATTATAATTATTATATTTTAAGTTTTTATGCAGAATATTACTATATAACAAAATAATTAAAATATTATTTTGGACCTACATGCATATGAAGAGCCTTTTATTTATTTATTTTTAATTTTATTTAAAAGTGAATTTTGCAGCGGTGAACTTTCATTTGTTTAAAGAAATAAAATATATTTGATCCAGCTTTAATTTTAAAACATTTTTACAGAGATTGTTTGTAATAAAGTGAGTAAAATCGCTGTAATTCTTAACTGCTATAATCACAACAGCCGCATGGTCTCATTAAATGCTTGTGTGTGTGTGTGTGTGTGTGTGTGTGTGTGTGTGTGTGTGTGTGTGT